TAGGTGCCTGGACGTTTTCATCTGACATAACCCTCTCTCTACTCCGTAGAGTCGGGAAATCCCTCGTACGAACCATAAATAACCGACTTGCTCTTTCTCATTCTCGCGGCGCTGTCTAAAACACAGCATGACAGAAGTAGTTGACCATACAGGTTCTATACGATCAATGCATGTTGGCCCGCAGTTATATATAAGGATTTAGGGGTGGCATACCATATTCTTCCACATGTAAGTACATGTTTATTGGGCACAAGATCCAAATGACAGCTATTTGATAACAAAGGCACCGCGGCAGCACAGCTAGCGCTTCGGGATCGAGCGTAATAATGACCACCATCACATCATGATGGTAGGGATTCGTTGGCGCATGACTGAGCCCGTCAATCATTAATCAATAATGGTCACAATGTCTGCCAACATTGAAATCAAGAGAGAGATATCGGCCATGTCACTCAGAGTCACTCTAGTTGTCGTATTGTCAATTGCGCGCTTCGCCTTTCAGGGCTCACAGGGCCCATCATTCCAAAACCCTCGCAAGCTGGTCATCCTCGTCTACTTGCTCTCAATGATACAGTAACGTCGTGTTTAAGACTCGATCAATTCTTGCACCATAGTCATCAGTACCTTGAAGCTCATGTAGACTCGGAGCTAAGAGCGTACCCCGGACGTTTTTCTACAAGAGTCACAGTGTGTATTAGGACGCGATGGATACCGATGTTGTCGCTACAGACTATCGGAATTTTTTTGGAAAGGCGTGGCTTGTTTGACGGAGTTGAACTAGAATGTCAGGGCTACGGCTGGTTGGAACTTGGAAGTGTAGCATCGCTGGGCCACCGAGTGCTGTGTGGTCACCAAGCGGACTGAACTAGTGGCTTGTGAGGCGTGCTAGTCATCGTGTCAGCGAGCCCTTGTAAGCGACGTAGAGTAGTTGAATTTAAAAATATGTGACGTACCAATGAGGGAAGGGGGGAGGGAGTTGCGGGATAGTTGTTTGTTTCGCTCCAAAATTGAACAAAGGCAGTGAGTTCATCTGACCTGTTTAGAAATAGCCGGAACTGTTCACTACTAACTTTATGGAAGGTATCATGAGGCCTTCGGGATGAGATCCGGGAATGTTGATATCTCGTGTTATGCCAGCTGACCAGCCTGAGGAATACCGCGACCGACTCTGAGGATGCGGTAACCTAAAGCAAACCGGAGGGGTGAATCCGAACAAATGCACATTCCCTCGTACCGATCACGGCGGCTCCAAGCGAGTCATTTGAGTGAGAGGAAGTAGTTGGCCATCTCGACTTGGTGACTAGTATGAAGCTCTAGTATAGACTAGCTGAGTTGGTCCAAGTCTGACATGTTGACATTGTGCACATTGTAATGTCAAGACTTGCACAGAGTGAAAACTGTGCACATCAGGAGAGTGGTCGTAGAGCGGCAAGTGACCGGTGACCTCCGTAACTTGTATATTTATAATTTGAAATTGAGAGGATGGCTCGAGAGGGTCTCAGAATATAACGCCCTAAGGTTCTAGTCTGCTTCAAGTTAGCCAGGCTTATCCATCACTCGAGAGAGAATAAGATTCAAGCGAGGGAGCCTCGGCAGCGTTTCTGTCTGGCTATGAAGACTCGGTACCTGCCAATGCCTTAATAAGTAACTTGAACCTACGCACTCTCCCGGTTTGCTCCCGGTTACACAACAACCCCGCAGGAACGCGCACTTGAGCCTACAACCATGACAGCCGCATCATGATCACGGTCCTGACACGACACGCGCATGTTTTTAAGCAGAGCTTGGCGGGCGCCGAGCAGGCGGTTGCGTAGGGTTGCATCGGACTCACAGGTCACAATTTTGATTTTGACAGGCTATACTCGTGCTTCATACGTACAGCCTATATCCACTACTGTGATATGAACAAGACAACTATTAGTGAGCATTGTCAAGGTCAACATTCGATGTTCGTCACTGAATGGCATAAGGCCTTTCGACTTCTATACAAACCCTCTACCGCCAATCTGCGGTCCGACTTTTCTTCACGGCAACTAAAAAAGCTATGTAATTGACACCTACATATTGCCTTGGATCACCAAATAATATGCCACCAACGGCGGTTGGACTGAGCCGCCTCAAGTGTCACAAGCTCGGTGAATCACAGCCGCGGCTCTAGCCTGTTCTGGCTAATCAGCGTCCTGACCCGTCGCAAGCCACCATCATCACACGGTAGTAGAGCGCTGTTCGATCATCCTGATTGCCTTTGCTGGGTTTAGTGAAATTGGGCGAATAGCTGTGTATGAACTTATATAAGTTGTAATGGGCAAGCAAGGACCCAAATCTTCAGAGAGCTTCACGCCAACACCTCCTTCCTTCAATCTTCCTCTTGCCTGAGGATAAAATGAAATACAATAAAAGCTTCGCGGCTTTGGCTGTCGCCGCCCTGGTTCAAGGTTCGCTTGCTCAGACATGGTACATACAATTCAATTTCGGTCCTGCACATCGTTTGTTGACTCTTAAATCTTTCCAGGTGCGGAAAGAATTATATGGCAAATCAATCTGTGGTGCCCCCTGGTGGACAGTTTGTATTGCCTGCACAGAGTGTTGATCCGCTTCTGTCGTTCCGTTGTGCCCCTGTCTTTCGCCCATACCTCCAGGAGGATGCCAAGAGCGCAGCGTTCATCGTGGATACATCAATTGTTTACGACTGGATCGCCGGTGCTGAGCCCATTTCACTTCCTTCTACTTCCGGCTCTTCTAGCAACTCCGCTGGCCTAGGAACTGTCAGCGTCACAATCAACGTGGGCTCCGTCAAGACCACAGCAAACGTCCCTCTGAATGCCACCAACTTCCAAATTCCCGTAGATATCAGCAAGCTCCAGGCTCGGAAGGCTGCATACAATGTCAGCTGCTCCGCTACATACACTGCCCCCTCGTCTTCAAAGTCCCAGAAATTCAAGACTGGCGCATCGCTTCTGTATCTCCCTGACACAAATTCTTCCGTCACTAAGACTGACTTGCGCACTGGCGCACTCTGGGTGAGGCCCGCAGATGGCAAGGGTGGAGCGTTTGCGCCCTTCCTCCCTCAAGGCTTCTACATAAATTTCGACGAGTATCTGGTGGAAAATTTGACTATGATCGATCAACTTAAAGCCGACGGGTTCGTTTTACATCTTTATCACCTCCTGCGAATTGACTCAAATCTTTTCCAGGTTTAACACTGTATGTCTTGCGAACATTTGATCTATCCTGTACTCAACGTTATGCCATAGCTTCACCCGATTCCTCCTTATGACAACCTTACTATTTTCGAAGAAGTCATCAACAAGACCATCAGTGCCGGCATGTACATCGTTTATGATATGCGATCGTATGTCAGACTTCACCACCTCATCACATGGCTGCTGATATCTTCTATCCAGAAACTACCAAAACTTGACCCTTGTTGCTCAACAAGTCAAGACTTACGCCTCGATTCCCAACCTATTGAACTGGGAAACCGCCCACGAGCCTGATGGCAACTCAGACCCCCTAGGCGCGGCGCAGTTGACATATGACTTGATATACACGCTGGACGGATACCACCCTGTCTCTATTGTTCTGAATTGCCAGGACTACAACTTCTCGCCTTACGTCAATGGAGCCGATATTGTTCTTCATGTGAGTCATTTGTCACATTTTCGTCGCTCGTGTTTCTAATCTCTGGTGTAGGATGCTTATCCTATTGGTATCAACGCCACATTTTCTCCTGTGTGGCACACAGCGTGTACTCCGGACTTTGGTCACTGTGGTTGCGACAACTGCAAGGGTACCTTGTATGATGTCAAGGCCCGTGTCCAGACCTTCAAAGACAGGCTCAACATTTTGGGCTTTGACCGTACCAAGTCTGTGTGGACTACGCCCCAGGCGTTCGGCAGTGGCGCGTAAGTCGTCACGAACCCCCCGATGCGATATATCTTGATTCTCATTGCAGATATTGGAACACCACTCCCACTGGGCAGCAATGGGCTGCTTTAGGATTCACTTCCTTCAACCATGGTGCTCTAGGTAAGTTATGTGATGTCTCAGATACGAATAAAACTGACTTACGTCGTCAGGTTCCAAGTCCTTCCAATACCCAACCACAACCGGCAATGTTACGACAATCGAGGGGACAGCGACTAACCTCACTGTTATCATCAAAGACATCATTCAGCCATTCATCGTCGACCCGAATGCCACATTTGCCACATACGACCATTTGGGTGTGGATGCCGGTCTCTGGCACAATGGCACTGCATACTTGCTCATCGTTGCCAACTTGGTGAATGCGCAGGTCTACGTGCCGTGGAAGGATGTTGGATTGGGCTCGATCACCAACACGACCACGCAGGTAGAACGGATACTCTCTGTCTCACAGAATACCAACGCCACTGGTCTGAACTTCCTACCTAATGGTATTGGTATTTACATTGCGACTCCCCCTTGAAGTGATTATAGAACGAGGATGAAGGACACGGGTGAGCTGTGATCGTTATAGCTTATTATTATGATCCTAGGAGATTATTATACGTGATAATGTATTCTAATAGTATGTGAAGTTTGTACGAAGTCAAAAGTGGTGGATCAGTCTAACTCGATATGCTTTATCCCATGAGGGTTCGTTTGCAATCGGTAGTACTGTCTGATTAAGAAATCTTCTCAGGGAGCTTGGTACAATGCTTAATTATGTTGATCATTCCCGTGATGCGCTGGAGAACAGTACAGCAACTTACGTACGCTCGGCGCTGCTGATCCAGAATCGTGCACGGAAAGTAAGGTACGAGGCTCCATTAATCATTACTAGTACTGCTTCGACCTGAGGCTCCGTGTCCACTCCAAAATCGTCGAAAGATGATTGATTCATTGAAGTCTCAAAGGGTAACAAAGTTCAAGCTGAATAAGCATCTGACTTCCGAAACTCAAACAGGGGCAGGCCCTCTCTCCTAAGTTTCCATCTTTCCAGTATGCAACCACCATTAATGAACTCATCCACCGCCATGGCACCACCTACTAACCTCATATTACGGTACACGGTGGACAAACATCCTAATGATCTCTGTGTCAGCATGCCACCCAACTCGAAGAATTCCGAGTTAAAATCCGCTATTCGTGTGTACCACGAAGACGGCCCTCTGCGCGAGGTACTTCCACAATATTTCCCTTTATTTTCCCTTCCAGTACTAACCATAAAATTCTTGACTTTGACTTGTTTTCCTCTAGCTCACCACCGAAATCCCCATCTCCCCCCATGAGACCGTTGATGAACGCGTGAAAGTGATGAAGCTGGAACATGCTACTATTGAGGAGGCCCAGGGAAAGGTTTGTTCAATCGCATCTGACGCTGCGAGCTCATGGGAGTCCCAACACCTCATGCTGGCAGTATGATATATCATATTGGCTTATAAGCCATAAACTGTAATACATTGAGGAATGTAGTTATCCATACCATGATACATCAGTCCTGTAAGGTTGTCTATAGCTACATTGATTATCAGGACTCCGTTGACCTCCGTACAATGGCCAATGGGTGCCTCGCTACAAGTACCACAAGTATATGCCCTGGCCGGAATTCTGGACTATGGGTCTTCGATCTCGATCTCGATCCCTCACAGGTTTCGGAAAATGTTATATTATTAAAAAGTAAACAAAGGTCAATCAATATGTAAAGGGGGGGGGAGCTTCTAGTGATGGTCCCTCATCACGATCATATGACGCATCTTCGGCAATGTCCAAATTACTATAGGCAGATTCCACGAGTGCTGGAACACTAGCCCACCTGTTCTCGAAACTCGTCAACAATGCACGGCGTACAGCACCCTGACGCTTAGCATATGCAACAAACCCCTCTGCATCTTCAGACCTTACAAATGTTCGAAGTGTCGCGCGCTCCTCCCACCACTTTATGTGCCACTTCAGGAAAGCCAATACACGGTGCATTTCCTCCATAAGCAGCTGGATTTCTTCATGCCACCGGTTGTGGCATGCCCTGGCCTTGCACCATTCAACGCGAAGAGCTAGAAAAAAAATGTTACTAATAGACTCGTGTTTGGGGAATTCAAACAGCTACTCACAGTCCTGAAGACCAGCGCTGTCATCAGCAGAAACTCCATGCGTCCACCAAATCCAAGACATGATAGCAGTGCCCTGGGTTTGTCCTCCGAAGTCCCCCATAGGCCGAAGATCAGACTTTTTGAGCAGTTGAAAACTCTGCTGCCAACCAGTGCGATCCACGTGTGCTGAAGTGTGACAAGCACTTTGTGAGCACGGCAGTACTTCATGTGAGACATTGCCAAATGTTCCTCTACCGTATCAATAGTCTTGCGCGCTCGTGTGTTGGCACCTTGCCCACGAATGTTCTGAGCCTTAAAACGTAGTAGTTGGGTTCAAAGGCGAATGTGTGAGCGGCACTCATTGAGTGCATCATTGGCTTGAGCATACCGCAGTGACTACTCAAGTTCGAGGAGCTTTGTATCACAAACAGTGAGATTGCAGATGTTGGAAGGGAAGAGGAGTGAGAAATCTTCAGCTTTCCCAGAGTCAGGCCTTGGACTCGGTAAGCCGCTGTCATCGTGGCCAGCGTTTTGAGGATGGGATTGATGGAGGAGGGCTGTGGCACATAGGTTGGCAACAATGGGCATATATAGGACTTGAACACTTGTCCATGCTTCAATACGGCATTGCAGGGTGTTCCTGCGGGTCACGATGTTTGCTCTCTGTGCATCAGTCGCATGCAGCCCGAGTGCAGCTGCATCTACCCGAAGACGATGTCTTAAATATAATCACATTAGAAATCATTTGTTACAGAATGAAACCATAAACTTACTGTGCGTGCTCAAGATCCATGGCAGTGCTGATGAGCACACTGGGTGTTACTTCAGCATGGAGTGATATGACGGTACTGTCCTCGAGCTCCCTGGCATCCTGTTGCGCAAGGGCAAGGCGAACTGCAGGCTGTGCCATTTCTGACAAGTGAGGCTGTGAGACAAATAACGATACAGATTGACTAGACGCACCAGTAACTCTACTATCAAATGGATTCGGCTTTGTGCGATCAGCCTCCCATGCCTCAACCTCATTCCGCCACTCAGTGATGGATGCAGTGCCCACCTCTGAGGACTCAATTGACCCCTCGAGTTCTTGAAGTGCAGCACGATGATCTTTCTCCGCCTCGACAGCTTCCTTAATCTTGCGCAGCAATGTTCGCCCTAGAGGAACCATGAGAACACTATACAAACTACAGTGAGAGAAAAAAGTTTTGACTCACCAAAACCTGATATCTTCTTCCAATTCCAGTCACCAAAATGGTCGTCGAGGGTGTCCTGACAAGCTCCTGGACCCATCTCCTTCATGCTTGCAGCGACATGGTTGATGTTTGCCCATCCACGCTCTGGTGCTTCTCCGTCCATTCGGCCGACCCAAGGGGTCCAATTGAAGGAAAATCGAGTTTGGCATGCTTTGATGTGAGCGTCCAAGTGGAACTTTGGGACGAAATAATTTATCACCTTATTTGAGTGATCAAGGTGAAGCGCATGAGGAAGGCTGGGCATGCGATTCCAGAGTTTCTTATGCCACTGGCAAGCGATGTCATAGGAGAAGTTGAAGATGATAAGTTGTGAAAATGCAACAAGTGTGGAAAATACAAGGTAGTCCATGTTGAGATACCTAGGGAAGTAATATGAGAGCTCATTCAAATGGAAGGACTGCAGTTAGCGCCTTACTTCTCTCCTTTTTGCAGATCTCCAACACCATTTGGAAGCTTCATGTCATGGCGAGCACAATCCACTGTACCGACTCCTGTTGCAGCAAGCCCCTTCGAAGTCTTTGTATCCGCCATGTTCACAGCATTGTGGCTAACACATGTGCTTTTCTAGTCATAAATCAGCCTAAGACTATATTGTGACAGCTCCTCTATGCTCACCTCTTGTACGACCTCGTTGCTCATATTTATGTGTGCCTTATATTTACCTTCTTTGACAAAGTAACCCCACCCACGGCTCAAACCTGGATCTTTGCTGTCGGTTGACACCAGACGCCGCTTCAGGCGGAAATTCGCATCAATCGCCAGAAAAAGAGCATACAGCCACCTGTAACATATTCTATTAGCTTAGATACAAGATGTGTACACTTCAAATTCAAATACGCACCGTTCTGATGGTGGTGCACTCTGCCAATCCTCCGGAAGATTCTTGCCAGGCTGTGGGCAAGCAGGACACAATACAGCTAGCTCCCCTTCTTGTGTGGCCTCAATACCTGCAGGATCGTGCCCCCGCCCTGATCGTTTCAGCACTTTCAAGTGTCGCCACTCTGATATTATGCGGAGGAATACAGAATAACGATCCTGTAAATCAACGATAAGCACATACTGAAATGAGGTGCACGGAAAATGACTGACATGAATTGGCTCAGTCCCAACATTGTCAGTTCTCCGTGTGAGAGAATGGTAGAATTCGTATGCAGAGACTTTTGACTCAAATGAAAGAAGGTGGAAAAATTCAAGGACAGCAAAAGTTGCCGCTGTTCTAGGATCAATTGTTGTAGCAGGGAACCATCGTAAGTGAAGGAGCTGTTTATAGCGAGATGGTGCGTGTCCACACCCACAATAGTCGAGCTTGATCTCATGTATCCCGTGTATGTCGATGACCACGAAATCATCATCATATGCTGCTCTGCGATTATTACACTCTTCACCTGGTCTATGACCCAGCTGAACACACAGGCCCAGTGACTTGAGTGAGACCGCATGGAAAAAGTCATCCTTCCATTGCTGAAGTGATTCCCTGAAGTTAGCGTTCTGTAGTATGCAATTAGAAAAAAAACTCACCTTGATTCTATGTAGAGGCGCATGGTAGTGTGACTGGACAATGCAATCACGGCAGGCCAGCTCGACCGAGAAACAATCTTCACATCGGAATTGTGCAGATAACACACCACACCGGCACTGACTTTCCCCACCTCTACCCTCCAAACGAATGAATTCGTCGAGGTATGCATGTCGCTCTTCCAGCCAAAAAGTGAGTTCATCCTATCCAGGCTGAATGAGCTCACCATTTACACAAATGAAAATAATGCTCCTATGCACCTGTCTGATTTGTTTTCCTCTGATCGCTTCTTCTGAGATAGTAGGCTCATTCTGTACAGCCTCAAATTCCACTTTGTTCCATGGATTGAATGTGTCATCGCTGTGAGATTCTGAAGACTTGACCACCGAGTCAGAGATAGCGAGTGGGTTTGCTGGAAGATAGGATGTGCGCAAGGCGAATTCCCCGTCTCGTTGAAGAGCAAATATTTGGTGCCTGTGAACATGTGCGGCTGCAGAGTCGGTACTGATCGTATGCCTCACAAGCTTCGGCTTTTTGGATGGACGTCCACCTGCCATGTCGTTACTTGTTTAGCAGAACATTAAATGTATGAAAAAATGTACCAAACACAGTGATGCGGCGCCTGAACAAATATACAGTAGTCCTTACAGGGAGAAGCTTTGATCTATCCAGGCGATATATCAAGTTGGATACTAGAACATGGCGAATCACACATGATATATCATGGTGGATAGGGACTGACCTGATAAAGTTCGTGTCCTGGTGATTCATATCCACCCATCCTTTCTGCTTGCACTCCACGAAGAGGTACGAGTGCATGATTTAATGCTCACTTGAGAGCTTGGGCTAACAAAATGGTGAGCAGATGCAAAAACGTTGGCAGCCAACACAAGACCAACACGTGTGGCTAATGCCTCGTCTCACTGAATTCTGGCTGCTTCCGATCCCAACGCCTAAGACGTTCAAGGTGGAGTTATTAGAAGGGTGGTTGCAAATATGGCCCGAGCAGGATGTTCTATGGCCTGACCAGGACTCAAAGGAGCTTCAGTTGGACGAAGATGACGAGATGCAGTTAAAATTAGCCGAACAAGCACGCGGAGATGTAAGTCTTACTATACTGATTTATACACTTGCAAAATTGTAAGTTGACAATGGCCTATACAATTAGACCTTGCAGAGCTGGATGTGGTGGGCGTGGCTCAATCCGAGATGCGCTCGTACGATGTATGGTTGTTCAGGATGCTGTGGGACTCCTGATGGACGTTGTGTCAAGTACCCCAATGGCCCTCTGTGGTAAACATAGACTTTGTAATATTGTTAATTTAAAATGTAATACAAAGTTATGAGTGCGAGCAAAGTACTACTGCCATAGTTGTTGAAATAAGAACTCCTTGCTGTTATATTTTTGTTGTAAGTCAGTGCCGTCCACAAGAACATCACATAACAAGTCCTCTAGTGCAGAGAGGACAGTCTTGATGCATTTCGTAGCAAGGCAGGCCTTAGTGTACTTTTGGCCAATACCTTCCTGCATAAGTAAGTCGTCCTCTGCCGAGTCTCAAGGGAAATTTCCTCCATCATTCCTACAGCGCCTCGAAGCTTCTCTGATGACCTTGTCTCCAGGTATTCAAGATAGAGGCCATCGATAATGTCGTGAGGTTGACCTCCAAGATAGGTCATTAGTCGATCTTGCTTGCGGGGTGTTTTCTTTGTGAGTTTGAAACCAGTATTTACATCCTGAGTGGTATGGCTTGAAAATACTCAGTGATAGAACTCAAGTTTAAGATACGTGTAACTTACTTCATTGAAGACAGACTCGTGCCAATGCAGGGTGTATCGCTGTGCTTGTCTTGTCCAAGTCGAGACCAATATTTTTGCTTTCATTTGGAACTAATCGCAGATCTATTCCTATACCACTGGTGGATATGTCAGATGCGCAGACTTTGAGTACATAGCAGTAACATACCTTGTATAATGAGAACGCCTATGCATTCGTTTGGCATCCCTACATTCCTCAGGAGTGTTGTAAAGCTTTGGTCGGCCCATGAGTGAGGATGATGAAGTACAAATGTTGAGTGTGAAACTGTTACAAAAGTTCGTCAGACTTTTACTACAACTGGAATCCACTGTCATGAACAAGTATTTTGTCAGACTTTTACTATAGAACTGAAATTTGCGATGAACTAGCATTTTGTCCCTATGTATTATCTACATATCTAAGCACTATTTGACAAGCCAGTTCCATTGGAACATATTGTAAGGGCTGAAGACCGGGAAATCTGGGCTGGTCAATGCTGCAAAGACAAATAAGTACTTGCGCTCGTTGCACTAGAACTCATTGTGAAACTGTCCCCTTCACAAGGGAGGGAGTGGTGCCAGAACATATTGTTACCGTTGAAGGTTCAATGATACAGCAAGGCACGAACAATGCTCCTGACTGTATCTATAATTGTTGTAAGGTTGTGCATTGCCTAGTCTGCTATACTTGAGACGACAAGTGCATTCGACCCTAAAGGGGAAGCGAGTGCAGCAAGGATCTAGAGGTATGCGCTGAAAGCGCTACTGGTTGGCCAATGCGAAGCACGGGAAAGCGCAGGTGCGCGCGAGGCGCGAGAATGCGCGAAGCGCGGGAATGCGCGCGTGTGTATGCGGAAACAAGAGAGAGTAAGAGTGAGTTTGCTTAGGTGATGATATGATGTAAGACAAGAGAAGGGAGATGCAAGGTGTAAACAAATAGATTTCTACTATGTTCTGCTAGGTAAATAGTGGGTAGTAACCAGTAAGTCCTCTGTCATTCTGGTGGGAGAGTAAGTGAGTAAGTGTATGTACTGCTGGTGCTTAAGTATGGTGCCTAAGCGCTGTCATGCGGAGCCGAAGCGCTACCGAGTAAGGTATGTAAAGATATATGTAAGTAAGGGTCCATGATAAAAATAAAGATGGAACGATAAGCAAATGTGAGAAATGGAAATATACGCACTAGGGAACTTGGTGGACAGTGGATGGATGCTTCCGGATGGCTGGCGCTATAGAGCGCTCAAGCGCAGGAAAGCGCGTGCGCATATACATCGTGAAGCACGGGAAAGGTACGCGCGCAAGTTGCGCGTTGCGTGGGAAAGCTGCGCCTCATGTAGGAATAGCTGTGGATAGCATACAGAGTGATGCTACAAGTTCGTGCCATGTACTCCCTAGTGAAAACTGTAATATTGCACAATGAGAGGCACGAGTCTCTACACCGTTCCCTTGGAATACAGTGTAAGTGCTGAAGAACGGAATAACGAAGAAGTACCTGCGCCTGTTGCACTGAATACAGTGTAAGGGCTGAAGAACGGGAAATCCATGCTATAAGGGAGGGAGTGGTGCCAGAATGTGTTGTCACCGTTCCCAGTGGTACCATAATGTATTGTTACTGTTCCCTTGGAATACAGTGTAAGTGCTGAAGAACGGAATAATGGAAGACAAAGAAGTACCTGCGCCTGTTGCACCGAATACAGTGTAAGGGCTGAAGAACGGGAAATCCAAGGGGTGAGAGTGTAAGAGCTGAAGAATGGGAAATCCATGCTGCTACGCCGCAAAGACGAAGAAGTACCAAGAGGAGTGAGTGGTGCCAGAACATGTTGTTACCGTTCCCTTAGAATACAGTGTAAGGGTTAAAGAACGGGAATAAGAGGAGTAAGTGGTGCCAGAACATATTGTTACCGTTCCCTTAGAATACAGTGTAAGGGTTGAAGAACAGGAATAAGAGGAGTGAGTGGTGCCAGAATGTGTTGCTACCGTTCCCTTGGAATACAGTGTAAGGGCTGAAGAACGGAAGAAGAAGTACCTGTGCTTGTTGCACCAGAATCGTGCTGTCCCCTCCATAAGAGAAGGAAGAAACTGTGCTGCTGGGTGGCTCTGACACAACTGTCAGTGCTCATACGACCGCGCTCGGCATAATAGAAATAGACTGTAAGCTTACCCCAAGACATGTGTTACCGAAGCTGAATACAAAATACTTCTGGGACGGGACTGTGTATTAGATCAAAGCTAATTATAGATATACCAAGCTTCAAAAATTTCACATTGCTTGTCCCATTCCAGCTGGCACATACAACATTTTTACCAGTGTACGTCAACTTTTGCCTGAGATGAACGCGCTCACTAACACCTTATGTACGTGTCTAGACATATTTACTTGAAGTACATCAACCCTTTACCCAATGAACACACTCATTGATGCCTTATGGGACGCATTATTAGTCATTTTTACCAGTACTTCGTAGGTCACGCGATTTCAATGCAGCACTATTATTAACGCGTTATCGTAGAGATGGCACCAAAAAAGTGGACTACCCCTGAACAGGAGGAGTGGCTGCAGCCATGGTATTCAAAGTACAAAGAAACATTGATAGGAAAGGTCAAGAACTATACTAACTTCTTCTGCAACCTCAATGAGGCTTGGTTCGACGAGTTTCCTGAACCAAGGCCAAGTACGGTGACTCCTTATGGCCCTCTCACAGAAGAGGAGATAAAAATAATGGATGCTGCGGAAAAATCACGTACAAATGTGAGGGTTTTGAACAACACTCACCTATGGCCTATTCTAGACTGCTGACATATCCGCTAGAAACTTTATAATCGTTTCAAAAATAGCATGGGCAGTATGAGGGCCGGTCGACAGGCAAAGGCAGATGCCGTAGATGTGCTCCAGGCTGTAGTAGAGAGCATCTTGGAGTGCGAAAAGTCAACGCGTGCCTATCAAGAACAAGAGGCTTATTCTGTCCTGTTCTACAAAGAACGTGCACAGCCTCAGGTATAGGAAGCACTTAAAGCGCTTAAGGCTACTGGGGAGCGGCTCACCTCAGGACAATGTGTAGCTCTTGTAAAGAAGGAGACTGCCAAAGCATATGAGGCCGAGACTGATGAGATCAAGATGCAGGTGAAAGAATTCATCGAGCAGCAGAAGGTCACGCAAGAGAAAGACAAAAAGGAAGGCATTTGGAGTGAGGACAACTCGAATTACCAACAGTTAGTCACGATCTGAATACAAATCTTGCTGTGCTCACTAATCTCCATTTAGAAATCTCGACAAACTTGCGGCTGTCGTCAACAAGTTCTTGAAGGGACTTCACAATGCAACTGGCCTGTCATATACACTCCTTGCCGGTGGTCCCTCCCCCGAATCCGGTGGTTTGATTGATTGCTACAGGTTAGTTCATGTGATGTCTGATATCTTCGATATATGCTTACAGTAATTGAAGCTTTCATGTTGGCCTCACAAAGCTGGGGAATGATTTCAGTAAGGCCTACCCAGAATTTGACGCCGGAATTATGGAGCCATTCCGGGACTACCTTTATCGTGTATATCGTGCGTCTGACTTAGTATAGCCAGTACTTCACAGTGACTTACTTGTGTGCAGCTGAAGCAGCAGTCAAGAGGGCAGGGGAAAATGTTGGATCCAAAGCCCTCAACGATGCCAGTCTTTTAAGATTTTCACCCGACAGTCTCGCAGCTGATATATCTCAACAAGGATCACCCACCCACCAGCATATATTGGCACGTTCTGATGTATCAGACCATCTACCGCCTTCCTCCCCTTTGCTGCCTTCATCCCCTTTTCCAACATCATCCAGTGACGATATATTCGCGGACTCTTTCAATAATTCTTACTCCTCTGACTGGGATTCCAACTTCTCACACGGACCATCCAACCTTATGCTGCCTGATATATCAGGGAGCCTACCATTATCCAGAGGGAATACATCCGCAGACCTCCATAGCCACTCTGGCTCCTTTCTTGACTCAGATCCCAACCTCCCAGACGAAAATGGGACACATTTCTGGATGAGGCCAGACTTTGACGCCTTCTTGCTTGGCCTTGAGTCATCCAGTGTGCTAGCAGGCAAGGAACTCCCTCAACCTGCACTCACCCAATCTCTATTGCATACAGCTGCACCTGCTTGTAGTCCTACGACTTTTCCCACCACTGCAAGTCTCCACCCTACCGAGCAGCTTGTCACGAGTCTCACCACTGACACACCTACTTTACTGGCCCCACATGCTCCCCATATGATGGCTCCCACATCTCCCTCTCTTCCTCTCCACCCTACCGAGCAGCTTGTCATGAGTCTCACCACTGACACGCCTACTTTACCGGCCCCACATGCTCCCCATACGATGGCTCCCACATCTCCCTCTCTTCCTCTTCACCCTACCGAGCAGCTTGTAATGCAAGCGACAACTACTGACGAAACACAATGGCAGGTGACAAACCTTTTAACCTCTTCTGCAGATGCCAATAGTACAACCAGTGCATCCTACGCTCCTGCTACGGCAGATCCTGACGGCACTGAGAATGTTGCAACTGCAGATTGTGACACCCATATTCGCCACACACGGACCGGTCGCATATGTAAACCATCCACTCGCCACGTCACTGCGAATGCTATTGGCAACCACATCAAGGACGTATCTGCCAAGCGTCCCCATGAACACGCTGGAGGCTCTTCTGGGGTGAAATCAAAGTTCGTATCTATCTTCTTTGTATTGTGTTTTCTAACTGCTCCTCAAGGAGAACAAAGACTTGACTTCAATATTGCACACTCTCCAGTTGGAAAACTATCTTACTGCCAGTTGTCATCCTATTTAGCTCTTTTTTACAATTTATTTTGATAATGTAGTGTTTCTTGGAGTCTATTGAACATGTTTTTTTGCGACGTGACAAAAGCGTGACAAACGTGATTTAATTTTCAGAGTGATACTCATGTCAAGTTCAGGCGAAAATGAAACCCAAGTTAGATGAATCAGACATTGCTTATGGAATTCCAGTGGAGGGTCTCCAACAATAGCAGCTTACCTTAGGTGAGATGCTCGACAGGATGTCTCATGGAACACTCAATCACTGGCACGGTCACAGCCTTACGATAATTTAACTATGATAATAAAAATCGTTTGAATTGAACAGAACACGAAAATGCCCACTGTTAGAGTCCCTAAAGTAAAATGATGCTAGCATTCTAACAAACGGTCTTTCATAATGTTAACACAATCTGTGTGACAACATAATCTCTCAGTCAACACATTCGAAACACTCTGAGGTGTCAAAGCTGTCGGAATGGAGGAAGATCCTGTTACACATGTGCAGACCTTACCGCTTGTTCGCAGAGTTTGTACGAACATTTTTGAACTGAAATTGTTGGTTTGTAAGCATCATGGCAGTGCTGCGCAACCACACTTTGACGTACCTTGCGAAATCAAACGATGGGCAGCATGTTTAGAGGATTGGGAGGGTTCATGTAGGCACGGATTGCTGGATGTACAAAGTCACATGGGCTCGTGCTCTTACAACTGCGACAGCCAGAACGTCCCAAACAGACGGGACAGGCCGGCATGGACGGACGGATGAACAGAACTTTCGAGTTCCCTGGTTCCCTCAGAGAGGCACGCAAGCAGGTGGAGGCACTGCAGCCTGGGAGGGCGGGAAACCTGCTTACGAAGTCAGTCGTGTGCTTGTGCGACACAAATCAAGATACGCATCTTTGTGTTACGCACTCAAATAGATCTGTTAGGCGGAGCCCTAAGAGGGGCGTCGTCCGCTAACGTTCGTGACGTAACCGGAAGGATCCGGTATGGCAAGTGAGACTGGCGACGACGAGTCGGCAGCGATCACAGTACGCGCGTGTCACGTGACTTCGTAGACGGATGTCTTGAGAAGTCACTCAAAGTAAGGACAGTCTTGTCCGAACGATGAGGTCGATCGAGGTAGACTTAGTCGCGAAGAGCGACTAAGAAAAGATACTAGAGACTGAAGCTGAGGGGGCTTCAGAGAGAAGTATGTTCCAGGGAAGATTGAGTAGATTCAAGTTAGAGAATCTAGTACAGGGTGACCGACTACTTATACTAAGTGGAGAGGGTTAAGGGCAAGGCTACCGCACAGTAGGTAAGGGTAAAGGGGAAACAGGAATGGTATAGGTGCGCTGGCATCAGAGCCGGATTAGTGATGGATGGTCAAAATGTGGAATGAGACCGAGAAACGTTGGAACGGACCAACGGTAAGAATACAACGTGCGGGAATCCGCAGTCAGGGGAAACAGAAAGAGGAAAGCCACATTGGTGGCACGAGTCAGAGGTGCGGGACCACATTGGTGGTCGAATCAAGAGAGGAACGTGCGTACACGTGCATAGAGGCGGATGATGCGAGGGACGGGAACGGTCCCGAGGATCCGATCAACGGAAAGTCGGTAAAGGAGGACGAGCCGGTAGATGGTGAGGGCGAGGATGAGGGGAAAATGATAGGGGGGCCACGTGACCGATGTTACTTGTAACACTTTGTAGATTACGATAGCACTGGAATATGATGCAGTAATGGTCCAAAAGGCCAAATAAAAGGGAGTGGAGGGTGGGAGCAAGGAATGAGAAGGATAACGTGTGAGTGTTTGAAGGATGCCTAGCTCGATGTCGTACTAGGTATTACTAGGTCAAAAAACGAATGAAAGGAAGATTACACTCAGTGCCGAGAAACTCCGACGGGCTATGTCTCAGCACCTGTACCCAGATATACGGGAATTCGGGTCAGGAAGGAGCAAAGGCCAAATGCAATGGTCGAACCAGGATTGTGCTACCATTTCCAGTATTTGACCCCCCATTAGACGGTCCAAAGAAGCTACACCTGTAGGATATATCCTGATACATCAGAATGGACAGTGGATAATGACAGATGGGAATGTATTACAGTTTATGGCTTATAGTACTGTTTTGATGTATCAAAATGACACTATGGCCTGGTCCCACAAGCGCAAACTTGAAAGGGCGAGGGACGAGGCAATCGCACGCGCTGATGTTGGTGACTTGGTCTTACTTTGCGTCGTTGCACTAACCGCTTTTCTTTCTAGAAGAGAGACAAGCTGGTGCAAAGGCTACTGTGGGAAGACGTCTCTAAACGTAAGGAGTATCAGGACAAAATATCTAAAGTGGAGTCTATCATCGACAGAGTCAGGGACGCTGCTGTGATCAACGAAACCGGTAGTACCAGTGCCCCTCCGACCACCGAAGAACTCTCAAAACTGCACACGCAAGAACTCAAGACACTGCATGCACAGGTGACTGCCCTGCATAAGGCATCCATCAAAGCAGCAGCCGACGCTGCAACTATGGCTGCCAAAGTGGAGGCTGCTGCTGCTGCTGCTCCCAAAAAGTCAATGCAACTTGTGACTGCGGCTTCCACCAAGGTAGTAGTCGACGCTACACCCTTTTTCTTTTTCTTTTTTCTTCTTTTTGGTGTCCTATTTTTTTCTCGTTGAGCAGTTGCCCGTCTATTATGTAGCGAGGGATGAGTGGATGAAATAGAATCATGTCTCTGAGCAAGCAACAAATGTGACACTTCACCTCTTCCGCGATGATTGTTCATTTGGTACTTCGTTGCAATAGCTAATCTTTTTCTCCATAGACTCCAACTCTTGTCAAACTTATCATCAGACCCATTCTCACCTCTGAGACAGCAAACATGGATGACCCTTTACTCAAAATCTGCCTAGATTGTGCAGGAAATCTCTAAGGCGGAATCTGTCAGGACTTGATCGCCGCTACTAGTGATACTTGTCACGAGTTCCAAATACGAACCATTATACTTTCCTAAATTCGAAGTCTTTTAAGCACACAAGTATAGCGCCTGTACCTAAAGATAAACCTAAGAATGTATTTATAGTTGAGGAAGCACCTACAGCGTCTATTGTAGAATTACCGAATACCACTGTACCTGAATCACGTGATGATGACAGCATACCACGCGACACTCTTGGAATGTTCCAGAGTCTTACTGCGGCTGCGACACATGTTATGACATCATAGTTATATATAGAATTGTACGATACCTTTAATTATTCTCATTGGTTAGTCAGTTCATACTCAACTTCAATCTCCGTTTCAATATATGTATATAGGTAGTGTCTTGTAGTCAGTAGTTCTTTAGTTCAAACCTCTTGTATCTCCAAGTGAGCAATCCAAGACGTACCTGCTGCCTATCCTCTGTTGTGATCTTTCATTGTTTGAGTCCTAGTCTCTGCCCTGCGTTAATTCGTTTAAGGGGTTGTGACAATACTACTGTTTTATCCAGCGTAAGTCTGTCGAGCCAGTCGAGGGCGCTGCACTCAAAAATGAATTCAGTTAACAAGGACTGAATGACACACTTGGTTGCAAAAGGGTCAGTCAACTGCAACAAACCCAAGCCCAAAGGCAGTTCAACATTGGCTTCAACACGCAACTGATTCACGGTGTGAACCTGTCGCCGCACGCCGCGGCGCGAGCACACCACACATAACACCGGGTCGCCAGCACAAACCATCCACATAATCACACAAACAATACATGACTATCTCGCGGGGAACTATGCTTGGCCATTGTGATATCCGCATCAAATTGCATGGCCTGTGCAGCCAATCGTCGATTCGTTCCTTGATCTGCTTACGGTCCTATTTGCATCTCTCGGACAAGGCCACTATGGGGCCTGGGCTGCTCTAAGCGATTGATAAGTAACGTAGAATACTTGCAATGCAACACAAGGGACATCAGCGCATCATGGGCAGCGAAAGGCACCAACACGACCACGCAGGTACAGTGAATACTCTCTGCCTCACTGAATACCAATGCCGCTGGTCTGAACTTCCTACCTAATGGTATTGGGGCAGCCGCTGCGTAGCGTACTCATACCGCTTGACAAACTCATTGCGTCCAATATAGCAGATGTCTTGACCCCGTGCGGCCTACTAGTAGTAGTGAGACGGTATCGCTTATAATTAGCTAATCAGGTACGGAACGTGGAATTAGTCATATCAAATGTGATATTTCGAGTTTAATTTGGTTTCATTGGACGGGTCTGTTCCTGTTTCTCCTAACGTTCTTCGCTAGTACACGTGTAATAGGTGTGTTTGCCTTTCTTCAGGTTGTCTCCACATATATATTAACAAGTTGTTGTGCCTCAGAATCTCATACTCGTCTGCTTGCGAAGAGTTAACGCTCTAGGCATCTCCTGACCTCCAAAGTTCCAAGCTGGAATCAATTTTCTATATATAACTTGAAGGAGTACGAGAACCCCACCCGACAAGTGAACGTTACCGTTCGTCGACTTTCACATCCACGTTGCAAATTGAAGGTTCTGCACTAATACCATTTTGATTAGCATCCTCATGATACACAGCCCGATGACCATGCAACTGCTTGATCTACGTAGATTGCCCAGATTTCACCCCTTGATTTCATCTCGCACTGGATAGCGGTATACATAGCCTATATATGATACTGCGAATGTTATTGACATACATCTACCAAGTTTGCCTCATCCACACCCATTCTCTACCAATATGATTGTAGTCTCAAATGGTCCCACTTGGTGGCCGATCATCGATGCATATCGTTTGAGCAGCTATTTTGCAGGTTCGTGGAGAGCAGTCAGATGTTAAAGCTGAGTCAATCTAACCTTGGCTGCGGTTTCGCAGTTGCCACATGTGTTGCAGTGATGTATGATTGGGGTGAGCATCATAACATTAAAAGACTGCTGACGTCTTACGATTATTTTCAGCACTTACATTTGGACAAGAGGTATGTCGATGGTATGACCAGGGCAGTCATCTCGCTGAGAATGGCTTTATAGGTGGAATTGATCTGGGTGAGTAGAGTCTAGTGTGAGAGGAACACACATGAAAATAAACTTGATTCCAGAGACAACGATGGTCTTTAATGACAGCTCTATATCTCGGTGTATGTAGCTCGTTGGTCGCGGTTGCCATGTTATGCTGACTTGAAAGTATCTTAGGTCCGCTACCTTGGATTCTTATTTGCTGCGTACGTTCGGAAGGCTACACAATCGGTGTTGCGCTAATCGTTTATCTCCGATCATAACCAGCCTGACCATTCTGTGTATGTCCCCTTAGTGCATTCGCTGTCTGTGCTTATTCTGACAAACGACATATAGTCAATGTTCCGACTATCTTATTGACAGATACTGTGAGCGATGCTTGCTATTCCCTTCCAATTAACCGTAGTGCCCTGTAGCAGTGGGTGTGGTCATTTGCCAATTTCTTGGTTCACTAATGATTGCCATGCTATCATACTACCACAGATGTGAGTCTGTTTAGAGTGTGTGCTACCCAAGGCCGATCGCTGACTGGATTCGTCAGGCTGGATTATGTACACCGTATGGAATTGGACTGGTGTTGTGGTATTTGCGATGCTGTGGGGTGAGCTTTGCACTTGTGATACCTCAGTGATATCGACTTGACTGAAACATGGTGCAAGTCATCATCATCGCTCGGTTACATGCGATGTATCAAGGATCCAGAAAGATTCTGATATTTCTCATTGTCACCTTCCTGGCTATCAACACTTTCGATGCAGTGGCCACTATAATGACAACAATACATACTTCAGGGGGTGCGTTTAATTGTGAATGAAAATAAACGGGCATTGGGCTCATTGATGGTTACCAGAGGAACTCATTCTCTCTGGCACTTATCAGTGCCAGTTGAACTATGCGGGGGACATCCCACTTCTTACGTCTACGGTTTGGATACTCAGCACTGTATGGGAGGTCCTCGTGCTATGTCTCGCAGTCTGGATTGTGGTAAGACACTTCCGCGAACTGCGACAACATTCGGCAGGAGGGATGATCGAGGACGGTTTCACGGTGTTGATGAAAACTCACGTCATTTACTTTGCGGGGTAAGCTCATATTGTGATTATTGTTCCTTTTTTCCACTGACGGGTCGGACGTGGTAGCTTTGTTGTTGTTTCTTGCCTCCAACTCATTGATGATTTTTATCCAACATTCTTCATGGTATGTCAATCTTTCACTTGCCTATGCACGCTACCACAATTTATCGTTCCCATAGGGCGATTCCCTGGCTGCTCAGATTGTTGCTGGGTTTATTCAGATTTCGGCAGCCGTGCGGATGTTTGTGCTGGGACCTCGCCTGATCCTTGGTGTTCGGGAATACTACGCCAAGCTCGTGGCCAATTCTGACGCAGCAACAGGTATGACCTCAATCGCTTTCCAGGAGCGCGTAGAAATATCGACCGGCAGTGGTGTGTGATACTCGGTGGAGTTAACGGTTGTCTGGTGCCCTCCAAAGAGCAGGGAAATTTGCTTTTATTTATTACCACTTTCTTGAAGGTATTGATCGAAGTTATCTGGTGTTCCGAAGTAGATTTCAAGGAGACATACAAAGTTTTCGTCATATTATTTAGTCAAGTGATTTGCTATACGTGTTGATAATGTTTAAATCGATGAATATCTCTACTGGCACCAGCTGCCCACGCAAACTTGCACCAACCACTGGTCCTTCTTTTCTCTGTCCGATGACAATATGTCATATGATTGCTCAGGCCGCGTGCGAGAGGAAAGTCGAGGGACAGCGCACAACTTCAATTCCTCAGCAATTCATACTTGATCCATCTTCTCGCCTCATGCAATGTCCTATGAACTGCTATCTTGTTTTCTCAGCTAACTCACGCCAATTGGCCTACAGATGATGTATTCAAGGTGATTACAAGGTGCGCGAAGCACGTTCATGAATGCGTAGCTTAATGATGCAAGATATACTTGATGAGTTTTGTTAACGCTTATGGAGGAGCTTGCCTTTCACTTTCGTTCGCCGAGGTGGACATACGGATACAAATATAAACGTGTTTGACATAGTTGCTGAAACACTACTGGGGGATACATGTACCCTATTAAGCATTGCGATATGAAGGCCGTGATTCTTCAGCTGAGACCCGGCGCCTCTGGGGAGTCAGGGGAATTTGAAGGAATCCAGGGTGCTAACCGGACACAAAACATAAAACAACAACAACTTGTTGACGTGGCTCAAAACGGCGACAAGGGACGCACCTAGGAATGGACATGCGGGCGCCAGCACCAGCAATAGTGCAGGAGTCGAGTATCTGCTACTTGAGGTCAGGCTGTGGACGTGATAGTGAGATCGAGGTGAATTTTTCGATGTAGCTGGTGTGCGGCCAAAATGTCATCATTGAGATTCGACGTTAGAATGATTTAGGATTTGGAACGTGCGTGCGAGAACATTAATATTATAAGTCGTGGTAACACTGGGAAATTTGAGGGGATGGGAATGTTTGAAGACATTTGAAGTGTGCTGTATTGCAAATTGTTATAAGAATAGGCTCACATTTTTTTCCATGGGGATGCATTTATAATTAACCCAGAATCGCGGCCTGCACTGATGCGCAAGCTTAGTTGGGGGAGAATGCAAGGTAATGATATCGAGTCAAGTGCCAGTGAGAAGGAAACCGTTTTGTGCATGTACACACATGAATCGGTAACCTGCGCATGTTTTATGGAATTTGCTCTTTAGGTGCTTCTGGAACTCTATCAGGACGACTCGCGACTTACCTCTGGTTGCATCGAAGTACTATTAGACCGTAAGAATATTGTGACTAGGCAGGCTGTAAATTTCAAACTCCGTGCTTCAACATTGCCTGTCAAGATCGATCAGACCTGAGTCTAGACCAAGTCTAGACTGTCTGAACCGTTCGCGCTGAGGCTGCTCGTCTGATATATTCTTGTTCTCAAATGCCCATGCCCACTTTATCATCATAAACGGACGTCCTTTGCACAACGCTTTGACTCGTTGGTCGTCTTAGACTCCGGCCAAGTGTCGCTCATCATGGTGAGAAGATCGCTTTTAATTCAGAAGGCATAGTTGTCTAAAAACGTGCTTGTGGTAGATGTGTCATTGTCGAGAGAGTCATCAGAAAAATGGAGATAGAATTCCAAAAGAAGGTCGTTGAAGGTCGCTGACATTGATGTTCAATCACTTTTGCTTACATAATAACTCAAAGTATATTCAACTAGCCGACAAACAAAAGGACCGCAGATTTCCACACGGAGTACCGCCGTTACTGCCAACGTTACCGACAGTAAGCTTGTTATACAAATTTCGTACTTACTAGCTCACTTAAAATTTCGTGGCGTCTAGAACTGGTGCTCCTCGAAAGGAGTCTTCTCAGCCTCGTCTTCATGTCTCATACATGTACCTCGCGAACTTGAAGCAGTGTGGGAAGTATTTTGATGGACTGTCAGAAAGTCATACAATGATCAATGGTAAATGCTGCGCACTTGACGATGACTTGCCGGTCTAACTACCGCCTAACTGGCTCGGGAATTCAGGAACCCATTCGTGTAAGCTATGCTCTCTATGATCTTTGCAGTTGATGCGAACAAGTTGGGTGAGATCACATATGCACGGAAGAATAACATGTCCGACGAAATTCCACAGGAAGGTCCACCCGGTGCACATCCTTCCGTCATTTGACGAGTGGTTTCCGAGCTCCCCGTTCAAGCGGAATACTGCATTGACAATTATTGCATAACATGGGTGAGCCATCGAATGCTATACTAGCTGCTCGCCGCGAAGCGCTCGTAGAAGTCGAGGGAAGCAAAATACGTTATGTGATGTTTCGAGGTGTTGATGGGCTGCGTACCCTGGAAAACATTCTGGATTATAACTCATGCCGTCATATATAATCAGAGGTAACCCTCATACACAGCTTGCTGCTTTTGTCAGATTACCATCACTATCTAGACCCCCACTATAGATTTCTGCCATGTCCCCATTACACGATGCAGCACACTCTGTGAGCGACCTCCCAGTTGCTTCATTACATCCAGTCACGACCCTTGTTTATTCCCCTCCGTATGATGTGCGCGGGAGGCAGCAACAATTCATCGAAACCGCGCAGCAGAGGAAGGACCGGGTTGAGTTTTCGAAAAAGAAAGAGTGGGCGCGTCACGTTGCTGAGTGGATTCGAGCGATTGGTGCACGACAGAATGTGATTGGTTATCATCATTGCAAATTATGTCACTAACGCGATTTTCAGATGACCTTTGGCTGTTCTGGTAGGCTTGCAGCATCACCGATGCCAGAGAATGGCGATATCGCCCGCTTGACTGCTTCTGCGTCGTCCCTCTCTCTATCATCGAGCGAGGAAGAGGGAGAACCATACATCATTTATAGTTCATCTGCGTCATCTTCCATGTCGTCCTTATCCAGCGACTTGTCTATTTCCTCAGTATCCACCTCGCACACGTCAAACATTATCTACCCACTGTCAAACTCCATACCCCATCCCCCCAAGCGCATCTACTGCCATCGTAGGAGTAACGCGAGTCTCATGTCTCCACGTCGCCGACCTTCATTGTCCAGTATTCACGAAGTTCCGGAAGAAGACTGATTCGTATCGGAATAGTTGGACTCATCGGGAGGAAGTGTTCAAGCTGAGATCAAACTGGTGCCATCTATCTCTTCTCAGGTGTTTCGTGATATTACGACGATCCTGTTGCCCTCTGCTCCTTTCAGGTTGTTCTTTAACGCACATGCTCGACCAATCATACTTAATCTTCAAACCTAATGAAAAACATTTGATTATATAGATTGTGCAATAGTACATTTTCACAATGCTAATTTATTCAAGGCGGCGCGAATTCGGGGCGAAGGGGCAAAGCCAATCCTGAAATGCCCTCCGAATCTTGACCAGTGCTGGTGACTGACAGGTGAAACCCTAACGCAAAACACTGTGAGTGATCATCAGTCGTGGAGGTGCACATATTATGTAGGCCGTAAGCCCATCACTATCCATGCCTCCCTTGCAACGGACCTATTCAGGTACCAGGTTTGTGAGGGTCGTTCCTTACATAAAGAGTCAATAACTGCAGTCTGCGGTGGCGCCCGAAAGCAATACTGAATATAACATAGCTCAAATACACGACCACGCAGGTAGAACGGATAATACCAATGCCACTGGTCTGAACTTCCTACCTAATGGTATTGGTATTTACATTGCGACTCCCCCTTGAAGTGATTATAGAACGAGGATGAAGGACACGGGTGAGCTGTGATCGTTATAGCTTATTATTATGATCCTAGGAGATTATTATACGTGATAATGTATTCTAATAGTATGTGAAATTTGTACGAAGTCAAAAGTGGTGGATCAGTCTAACTCGATATGCTTTATCCCATGAGGGTTCGTTTGCAATCGGTAGTACTGTCTGATTAAGAAATCTTCTCAGGGAGCTTGGTACAATGCTTAATTATGTTGATCATTCCCGTGATGCGCTGGAGAACAGTACAGCAACTTACGTACGCTCGGCGCTGCTGATCCAGAATCGTGCACGGAAAGTAAGGTACGAGGCTCCATTAATCATTACTAGTACTGCTTCGACCTGAGGCTCCGTGTCCACTCCAAAATCGTCGAAAGATGATTGATTCATTGAAGTCTCAAAGGGTAACAAAGTTCAAGCTGAATAAGCATCTGACTTCCGAAACTCAAACAGGGGCAGGCCCTCTCTCCTAAGTTTCCTTCTTTCCAGTATGCAACCACCATTAATGAACTCACCAACCGCCATGGCTCCACCTACTAACCTCATATTACGGTACACGGTGGACAAACATCCTAATGATCTCTGTGTCAGCATGCCACCCAACTCGAAGAATTCCGAGTTAAAATCCGCTATTCGTGTGTACCACGAAGATGGCCCTCTGCGCGAGGTACTTCCACAATATTTCCCTTTATTTTCCCTTCCAGTACTAACCATAAAATTCTTGACTTTGACTTGTTTTCCTCTAGCTCACCACCGAAATCCCCATCTCCCCCCATGAGACCGTTGATGAACGCGTGAAAGTGATGAAGCTGGAACATGCTACTATTGAGGAGGCCCAGGGAAAGGTTTGTTCAATCGCATCTGACGCTGCGAGCTCATGGGAGTCCCAACACCTCATGCTGGCAGTATGATATATCATATTGGCTTATAAGCCATAAACTGTAATACATTGAGGAATGTAGTTATCCATACCATGATACATCAGTCCTGTAAGGTTGTCTATAGCTACATTGATTATCAGGACTCCGTTGACCTCCGTACAATGGCCAATGGGTGCCTCGCTACAAGTACCACAAGTATATGCCCTGGCCGGAATTCTGGACTATGGGTCTTCGATCTCGATCTCGATCCCTCACAGGTTTCGGAAAATGTTATATTATTAAAAAGTAAACAAAGGTCAATCAATATGTAAAGGGGGGGGGAGCTTCTAGTGATGGTCCCTCATCACGATCATATGACGCATCTTCGGCAATGTCCAAATTACTATAGGCAGATTCCACGAGTGCTGGAACACTAGCCCACCTGTTCTCGAAACTCGTCAACAATGCACGGCGTACAGCACCCTGACGCTTAGCATATGCAACAAACCCCTCTGCATCTTCAGACCTTACAAATGTTCGAAGTGTCGCGCGCTCCTCCCACCACTTTATGTGCCACTTCAGGAAAGCCAATACACGGTGCATTTCCTCCATAAGCAGCTGGATTTCTTCATGCCACCGGTTGTGGCGTGCCCTGGCCTTGCACCATTCAACGCGAAGAGCTAGAAAAAAAATGTTACTAATAGACTTGTGTTTGGGGAATTCAAACAGCTACTCACAGTCCTGAAGACCAGCACTGTCATCAGCAGAAACTCCATGCGTCCACCAAATCCAAGACATGATAGCAGTGCCCTGGGTTTGTCCTCCGAAGTCCCCCATAGGCCGAAGATCAGACTTTTTGAGCAGTTGAAAACTCTGCTGCCAACCAGTGCGATCCACGTGTGCTGAAAGTGTGACGAGCACTTTGTGAGCACAGCAGTACTTCATGTGAGACATTGCCAAATGTTCCTCTACCGTATCAATAGTCTTGCGCGCTCGTGTGTTGGCACCTTGCCCACGAATGTTCTGAGCCTTAAAACGTAGTAGTTGGGTTTGAAGGCGAATGTGTGAGCGGCACTCATTGAGTGCATCGTTGGCTTGAGCATACTGCAGCGACTACTCAAGTTCGAGGAGCTTTGTATCACAAACAGTGAGATTGCAGATGTCGGAAGGGAAGAGGAGCGAGAAATCTTCGGCTTTCCCAGAGTCAGGCCTTGGACTCGGTAAGCCGCTGTCATCGTGGCCAGCGTTTTGAGGATGGGATTGATGGAGGAGGGCTGTGGCACGTAGGTTGGCAACAATGGGCATATATAGGACTTGAACACTTGTCCATGCTTCAATACGGCATTGCAGGGTGTTCCTGCAGGTCACGATGTTTGCTCTCTGTGCATCAGTCGCATGCAGCCCGAGTGCAGCTGCATCTACCCGAAGACGATGTCTTAAATATAATCACATTAGAAATCATTTGTTACAGAATGAAACCATAAACTTACTGTGCGTGCTCAAGATCCATGGCAGTGCTGATGAGCACACTGGGTGTTACTTCAGCATGGAGTGATATGACGGTACTGTCCTCGAGCTCCCTGGCATCCTGTTGCGCAAGGGCAAGGCGAACTGCAGGCTGTGCCATTTCTGACAAGTGAGGCTGTGAGACAAATAACGATACAGATTGACTAGACACACCAGTAACTCTACTATCAAATGGATTCGGTGAAGGTACAACAATTCAGATGGTGAGTCTGAACAATGTTGGGTCTTGCAGAACCTAGCTGCTATTCGACCCTAAAGGGTTTCTGGACCAGGCTCAAGGCTCAGAGAAGAGGAAATATCATGAAAACTTGCTGAGTACTCAGACTCATACTGGTAACTGGTGAAAAGAAATCTTCCTTGCTAGCACGTCCATGGTATTCTTAATGAATCAATCACCTTTCGACGATTTCGGAGTGGACACGGAGCCTCGAGCTGAGGCCTCGAGGCTCCGTGTCCAAGGTGCAAAAAAGGGTCCTTCATTATTACTAAGCAGTACTGAATACATTATGTAATAAGCATCTGACTTCCGAAACTCAAACAGGGGCAGGCCCTCTCCCATCTTTCCAGTACCCAACCACAATGAACTCACTAACCGCCATGGCTCCACCTACTAACCTCATATTACGGTACACGGTGGATAAACATTCTAATGATTCCTGTATCAGCTTGCCACCCAACTTGAAGAATTCCGAGTTAAAATCCGCTATTCGTGTGTACCACGAAGATGGCCCTCTGCGTGAGGTACTTCCACAATATTTCCCTTTATTTTCCCTTCCAGTACTAACCATAACACTCTTGACTTTGACTTGTTTTCCTCTAGCTCACCACCGAAATCCCCATCTCTCCCCATGAGACCGTTGATGAATGCATGAAAGCGATGAAGCTGGAGCATGCTACTATTGAAGAGGCCAAGGGAAAGGTTTGTTCAACCGCATCTGACGCTGCGAGCTCATGGGTGTCCCAAAAGCGCGAACTTGAAAGGGCGAGGGACGAGGCAATCGCATGCGCTGATGTCGGTGACCTGGTCTTACTTTGCGTCGTTGTGCTAACCGCTTTTCTTTCTAGAAGAGAGACAAGCTGGTGCAAAGGCTACTGCGGGAAAACGTCTCTAAACGTGAGGAGTATCAGGCCCAAGAATCTGAAATAGAGTCTCTCAACAACAGAGTCATGAATGCTGCTGTGATCAAGAAGACCAGTAGTATCAGTGCCTCTCCGACCACCGAAGAACTCTCAAAACTGCACACGCAAGAACTCAAGACTCTGCACGCCCAGGTGACTGCCCTGCATAAGGCATCCCTCAAAGCAGCAGCCGACGCTGCAACTATGGCTGCCAAAGCGGAGGCTGCTGCTGCTTCCACAAAGTCAATGCAAGTTATGACTGCGGCTTCCACCAAGGTAGCAGTCGACGCTACACCCTTTTTCTTTTTCTTTTTCTTTTTCTTTCTGTTTTGTGTCCTATTTTTTTTCTCATTGAGCAGTTGCCAGTCTATCGCGTGGCGAGGGACGAGTGGATGAAATAGAATCATGTCTTTGAGCGAGCAACAAACGTAGCCTTCACCTCTTGCAGCGTAGATGGCCAAATATAAAAATTCAAATTCTCTTCCGCGATGACAGTTCATTCGGTACTTCGTCGCAATATAGCTAGTCTTTCCCTCCACAAACTCCAACTCTCATCAACCTTATCATCAGACTCATTCTCACCTCTGAAACAGCAAACATGGATGGCCCTTTACTCGAAGTCTGCCTAGATTGTGCAGTCAATCTCTATGATGTAATCCGTCAGGATTTGACTGCCGTTACTAGCAATACCTGTTTTGTCCAGCGTAAGTCCGTCAAGGGCACTGCACTCATAAATGAATTCAGTTGACGAGGACTGAATGACACAGGTTACAATGAAACGGTCGGTCAACTGCAACAAATCCCAGCCCAAAGAATATAACCATCTATAATATATATAAAGACACGAACGGATCTCGAGCAGGACAAATAAATATTAAACGTATGATAGACAAGAGTAAAAGAAGGGGAACAAATGAACGGACGTCCGGTGAAGAACCAGTTATTCACGAGCACACTCGATACGCAATAAAAATACAAGTACAAAGGAAATACGAAAAGGAGAAGATAAACGCGCCACAGAAATGAGGGTGTTATTAAAAGAGTAACGATGAAGTGAGTCATTGTCTGTACTAGTCTTGAGGCTTACCACCCAGAGCCATCCAATCACAAGTGTGCATATAAGCAGAGATGAAAGTTGGCATGCGGAGCACGGTTTCACGTCGCAACTCACTTCTGCTGCATTCCTCACTGGCCAGCACAAACCTCCCTTGCCCACCCTCCGATCCAGTAAAAAGACAGACCGTGGGCGGCCTGTGCGCACGGAAATAATAGATCGTGCCCGAGACGGTGTCGATGAGGGTGAACATGTGACCTTCAATAGGGTCGAATGGTGGGGCTGCGATGGCTGCCTCGTACTGCGAAACGTGACCTTCGCGAAATGGGGAATCATTTTCCCTTGGTTTTGCCAAAGGCGAACCGGAAGGAGTGTAAAGGGTGCGACGAGAATCCCCCATCTGACGTCCATACAGGTGGTCAGAGGCTTCCTGCGCAGAGATGACTCCTTTGACTCCAATTAGCCATGGACAAGCAAGAACGACGCGTCCAGAGTGCGCATAACATGTGAGGACTGGTGAGAATATTAGCAGAATAAGTGAGAAAGCGAGTATGACGCCGCCGCCTGCAACTAGAGGTGAGGTTCCCGAGGAAGATCCATAGATATCTGCGCTAGCAGAGGCTTCCTCATTTCCAACGGAAATCATCGTGCAACTCGTCACAAAGAAGAACAAGGCCACGTATGGCGCTACAAGTGCCAGAAGACGTCGGATAGAGCGCCTCGTAGCAAACGCGACGGATGGGAAATTCTTCCACCTAATTGCTGCCGCCCGACAGCCATCCAACACAAGAGAACCGTTGGATGTAATGCCGATGACCTGTACAGCGGGCTCAATGTCCCAAAGCTTGGCACCATATTCGTCTTCATTAGTGTACCATTGATTTATAGCGCTTCGATCTTTAGGAAACATTGAGATCATGCGATCAGCAATGCGGTCGTTGTCGTTCGCCATAAACAAGCGTGCAAGCGCTTGCAGCTCTGTCTCCTCAGGATCCGGGTGAATGCGATGCTCGAAAAATCCCATGAGCGCATAGACCTTTTCTGCGCGATATCTCCCCTGAGAATCTCCGCCCTGACTCGTAATTTGAAAGGAAAAGCTTTCTCGACGCCATATTGCTTCTTTGAGTTGGAGATTGCGCGCCAACCTCTCGAGCGGATCCTTCCCGAGCCCATAAGAGTGGATAATCTGGGATTCTTTATCATGGTGGCGGTAAGCTAAAGAGGCGATTTGGATGAGACTGATGGGGGTGACCGCATTGTTTCCAGCCACGTATCGCAGCTCGCGACTAAGGAGAGCTTCCGGCAGAGTCCAAACCCGGCCGCCCCAGTCGGGCCAAGCACTCTCGTCGGTGAGCACGATGAGTGTGAAGGAGGCAAGTCGGTAGACATCTGACATGCGAAATAGGTCTTGGTCCTTATCCTCGAGTAGGCACTCGAGATCTAGCCAGTACGCGTCAAATCCTTGATTCAAGGTAGCATACCGCACCCGCTCTATGATCGCCTCCTCACTTCCGAATTTTATCACGTCGGCGTAGCGGTAGCTGACAGCCACATATGGTCTTCGCCGCGCTACGGCCTCAACGTTGACTTTTGCCCAACTTCTTGTATTTCCATCAAATACAACAAGGATGCGAGGGTAGAGAGCGTGGGTGATACGTCGGACGTGTACATCATCTTCACCTGCTCGTGCTCGTAGAGAGTATTCCCGTTGTGAGCGTGCAGCCCACAATTGACCAACAAACCGCCTCAAATACGGCTTGTAATGGATGGCGAATGGATGGCCTCTGGATGGATATAATAGTGTGAAGATATAAAAGATCCAGACGAATAACCACAAAAACGTTTCGCTGGATGGGCTGAATATCATCCTGGTCAGCCAATAAGAAAGCCGAGTGGATAGTGGCGCGTTCGACCGAACGTCGTGCTCATTCCAATCACTTGTCGAGCTGGGATTAACGGACTGCACAATCAGGCGCTTGCATTTTCCGCTAGAGGGGCTAGTGTATCGCGATGTTGCTCCGTGGTAAAAGGGCTTGAGCTGATTGCTATAGCACTGGGGGTGTTTCTGATCAGTGGTTGTCGATACATGATTCATCTTCAGTTTAATGGCTGGATAATAAGAATGTCAGTCAAGGAATATTAAACGGTACAGCAAAGACAGAGCTTACCGCGGGCAGAGGCGAGAGGGACATTGTATTAGCTTTTCGTACGGTCATTTAAAGCTTCCAGGAGGTGGTCCACCAGGGTCATAGGATGCACCTGAAACGCTAGACGCATCACAGCCTCGTAAGTGGGCCAGTTACTGACGATAACGTACTAACCTTTTGATTGGAGTGAATTTTTTTTTTGATATGTGACGAGAAGTTAAATTATCAATGGACAGGTCGTGCCTAGAAGAGACTACCGTTAGTACCGTAAGACTTTTGATATATTTTTTATGAGACTTAGAGTACGGAGGCGGTGGATGCCACTACGTACGCAGTTGCTGCATGAAACGGCTTCCAGAACTAGAGACGTTTTTGTGGTCAAATGGAACGCAAAGATATTATCATGGTAGTGCGTGTCAAACAACAGTGTTGAAATTTCACGATTTCTTTAGTGCAGGAGGCCCGGATCATAGCTCTTGAGGATCAAATTGCGGTGTTGATCACGGCTTTTCAGGGCTCCTGGGCGCTAATCGGAGAACATTTAACTCTTTCACGGGTCTTGTTCTGAACGGGTACAAGGGGCATCAGACAAACCTCCCGGAGACAGGCGGGCGCTGTTGATGAGACCTGATGGATGACAAGTAGGCAGGCAGAGCTGGCCTGAACTAGTAGTAGATGCCAAGGCACAGAAGTGACTGACAGCAGGCGTTACAAGGCGGACACTGAAGAGACATGAAACTAGAACCGCGAGCATAAAGGAAGTGAGAACAACTAACAGTGACTTAGAGTAGGAGCGACGACAGCTACTATCATCGTGACGAGCTAAAAACATGAGCGAGTCCAACGTAGTTAGTGGCACATAGAAAGACGCAGATATGTAGTTTGATGTGCCACTCAAAATTGCGTTTGAAACCTTGCATCTCATGCCTGGACCCTCGTCCCTGACTCGGGGATGCTGACATGTAATTAAGCAAGGACTCCATCATAGGGAATCCCAGAGAACGGGTAAGGTTGCCATCAGGCCTGAATGTGACAAACGAGGAAGAATCTAAACTCAAAAGACAGGACCAGTGGCGGCGGCAGCGGAAAGAAGTGCATTCTGAGGAGAATCCAAGCCAGAGGCAAGACGAAAATACGGAAGACAGGATAGCTAGCTCAGGGTAGTAGTCGGAGTCCCAGGCCAGGAGAGGATGTCATGCCGTCTTATCGTGGAAAACGCTTTCCGATTTCCGATGAGCACGGGAGCCGATGATGATATGATCCTGATTCCTTTCAAGTTTCAAGTACTTACCACCAGCGAAGAACGGGGCGATCAAAAAGCATGCATGCGCATAGTTCGTGTTGACATTAATTGGTTTGTGCTTCTTAGTTTTCATGGTCAAAATTCGCACCGCAAATTGAAAGTCTAAACAAATGTTTTGTCAGGGACTGGCGCCGTTACGATTCCTGTGTCTCTCGAAGACACGGCGTCTCGCCAAAAAAATTATCTGTGAGCGCGATCACAGCGGCTCCACACGGGCCGCTCAGCATCAATAGGGCTATGCTATTACACAGTTCAAGTCGTTGGATTCTCCTCTCCCTTGTCCTGGTCGCTATGGCTTCTGGTTCGTCGGTTGTTACCAATCACCCTGCTTTTCATCGATGCATCTTCCACTTGATGTAAATTTAGACCGAGACCTCGCAGATATTGTGGACCTTCGTTAGCAATACCCCGGTGTTCTTCGACCTATTGGAATACGAAGGAAGTGTCACGGTCATCTCTGGATCAAGCGCCATCAATCTGATCATGCCAAAGTCACACAGTACGTGGCATGAATCTATTGTCTACGGACCTTCACCGCGCGGACAGTTGTTTGCGTTCGGGCCAAAGACTTGATTTTTTAGCGGGAATCCATCCCGTTCGCTGAGAGCAATATTTTCAGCTTATCGTGGTGTACGTCCGATGACTCGGAACTACTCCGATTCAAAGCTTCAACTTGTAAAGGACTCAAATATAGATCTCATTGGTTGCTCTGCGCTCTTGATCGCTGTATATGAACTACTACAAATTGCAATCCAAAGCCCTCGCATCACTTGTCCGAAGCGCTAGACAAGAGAAATATCATATCATCACTCGCCCACTCAACCACCATATCACCCAAAGAACACCGCCATGCAGTAGCATCGCTCAAATTGAATCACAAACAAAGCCATGGCATCATGATGTGTAAAAACCCCGTCAGATCTGATGAAATGGGAATAAGTGAGATATGAGTAATGAGTTTGGGGATATAGATAGCGATATGAATATGATAGATAGTTTTATGAAAGGAATGGGTAACGCGGGCACAGCGCCGGCAAAAACAAAAGCAAATCGTCCGTCCGTCCATCCATCCATCCACTCGTCACGACTCACCCCCACTCTCACTCTCCCTTTGTAACACATGCTCTTCAATAGCTCTACACTGTGATAAGAGTTGGACATTCACCGCTCGGCCGCATGCGTTGCGGATGAAAGGCGTCTACAAATCCAAATCACGATTGAAACCAACGTCCGGTCAGCGTCGAGTCAAAATCGCACAAGAATATAAACACACGTTCACCAACTCATTAGCATTCGGCCTCGATGCATACGGCCTCGAGCATAACTTCAAAAACTCGTGGAACCCGCGCGAGTAAAGCTCTGGTTGACGCAGAGGCGGCCACTGGACACCGATTTGTCGCGGGTCTTGGACGTCTGCAAAGGGCGGTTCTGTCTGTGCTAGTTCCCATACTGTTGCGCCTAGAGACCAGACATCAACTTTGAGCGCGTTATACGCTCCACTGTAATAAGAAGAAACGAAGATGAGATTTGATTCCTAATAAGAAAGAAAGAAATACACTCACACTCGCATCTCTGGAGCCTGCAAAACATGAACACGAACACCATCAACACATACACGGAGGACGAAGAACCTTATGAAACGCACCTGCCAGTAGATAACGCCCACAGCCCCAACACACATCGGAGAATTTCTCGTCACACGCACAGCATTCGAGAAATCAGCTATGGATCAAACGGTCATCAAGATGAAATCAGCATCTCTTCTCCAATAACAAACAAAAGATGGCAACAAAACAAGTGATGATCGGAGTAAACAATCGAGTATATAAGGGGGCCACTTACCAACTTTTACGATTCCACTCGCGTTTAAAAGGAGGTTATCTGAACGGACATCTCGGTGGGCGATATGGTGTTTCTGGAGGTATTCGAGCGCAAGTAGAACCTGTTCATCCATTCATCGGTCAGGATCCACCAACGCATACCCCACACAACGAAACAAAAAGAAAGGAAAAGAAAGACTCACATCACTAGCAAACCTCGCAATCATCCTCTCCTGCAACGACAACCCCTCCCCAACAAGCCCCACAACATCCGCTAAGCTCCTCTCCATCAGCTCCATCCGTATCCACACCGAATCATCCACTAAATTCACATAAAACGCGTCCATGCGCAATACATGCGCATGATGCACCCCGCGCATCAGCTCCATCTCGTGGCTCAGGTCTTGGAACTTTGGAGATACAGCTGGGTGGATTGCGATGGATTTTATGGCTACGTGCGTCGTTCCAGAGGATAGAGAGAGCGATTGGACGGGGCAGACGAGGCGGGCGGCGTATACGGAGCCGCTCTCACCTTCTGCAATTTCTTGTAGGTCTGCAAAATATTCTTGGGGATCGACGTCGATCATGAATTCGGAGAGAGGGGAGATGGCGTCTGCGATCCATTCTGGTAAGCGCTGCAATTGGGATTGGGAGCGTGCTTTTGGAGGAAAGTGCGTGAACCCTTCATCGCTATCGCTATCGCCATCACTGTCCCGCCCTCCAACTCCAAACGTATCGGTAATTGATGTGAGAAGCGCAGCTTCAGGCGCAAACCTCTTATCCCGGAGCGGGGAAGGCGGCACGTGCAACTTGGGCGTGACAAGGGGTGCACTTTCGGTAGTGGAGCCCGTATCGCTGCTGAAATGTGAGCTGTGAGGAGAACCCTGCACACGGAGGGAGGTTGCGCGGAAACGCGTGGGTTGACGCGGGGTTGTGTCGAGGTCAGGGGTGAGAGGGGGTTCTGGCCATGCAGGATCCGAGTCTAACGCGATGGACGCGCCATCCGAGCCTAGCACCACGGATGCACCATCTGAGTCCAACACAACGGACGGGCCGTCTTCTGTGCGGCTCACTGCATCATCTCTAGGCTCAACAGCACTCAGCGATACAGAATCAGAGTCAACGACACTAGCTGTTGCCAACGTGATAGCCACGGCTCCACTCACGCTCACAATGGTAGCGGGTGTGACTGTCATCGTTGACATTCCGGAGTCGCGGTCGCCTGGAGGTCGTAAGGGGAGGAGAGTTGTAGAGGCACTGCGGTTACTGGTGGTTAAAGGTGAACTGTGGTTGCTTGTTGTTGAAGCGCCCGTCGTGAAAGGAGAACCTGTCATCGAGGGAGAACCACGATCGCCTGCCATCAAAGCACCAACACCCTCTCTTCTCGAAGAACCCCCACCCGAAATCTTCGCACTGGTAGGCGACTGCGGTGACACAGTAACCTCAATTCCCGGTCTGTAAGCCGGAGGCGATAAGGGTTTCGTGAGCTCATTGTGTTCTGTACTGGTAATTTGGGTACTCGAGCTGGGAATCTTTGGTCCACCAGCACTGAGAGATGAAACATCCAACCCAGGTCCAAGTGAAGAGAGGCCCAACCCAACACCAAGCGAAGAGACGTCAGGCCCTAACGAAATATCCGGTAACACAGGACCAGTACTACTATCAACCTCTACCTCTTCGGGAGGCACAGGCGGAAGTTCTCTCATCGGCGTACGCTGTGCATTCCGTGTCGGTGTAGGCGGTGTTCCAGTTGTTGTAGGCGGTGGTGTGTTCCTTGTCGTTGGCGTAGGCGGTACGCTGCTCCCAGGTGCAGGTGACCTCGGCATCATAACACGTAGCGGAGCCCCAAGCGTTATATCCGCTCCAAACGACACATCCGGGAGTGTCGGGAGAGTCTGTGTCGAGGTTGGAGAGATCATGCTTGAACTTGGTTGTGTAGGAGAGAGCATCGGCGAAAGCACGCTCAAAGTCAGCTGTGTCGATTCAGGAGAATGTGAAGGGTCAGAAGGAGAAGGGGAGGTAGACGGCGTCGATGTAGTTGTAGAAGTAATAGGAGAGTGGGATTTTGAAGATGAGGGTGTTGACGGACGGGATGAAGTTGATGGAGAGCGTGATGTTGAAGTTGATGGTGATGGTGATAGTGATGGGGATGGTGATAGTCGCGAGGAAGAAGAAGGCAGTGAGAATCCAGGGAGGAGCGAGCTACTGCTGCCTTCCCCTCTATTTTCCAAGGAGCTCTTCCGCTTCGACTCGATGAATCTCCCTGGTTTTGAGAGTCCTAGTCGGTCTTCAAGTCTACTCTTGCTCCCTCCCCCACTTCCACTTCCACTCCCGTCTTCCAGCCCACTAAGCAATCCAGCCCCCCAATCCTCCAGCCCCAAATCCGAGCTCAAGTGAAAACTAAGCCTCGGAGGTAACGCACCCACTTTCGTCAGCCTCTTATCAATGACCAGTGGAGGCGTCGGGCTCATGTGCCTATTCAGCAGCGCAGGATCAACGTTCGGAAGTGAAAGATCCACGTCTGTGCCCGTGCGGAGCGATGAAGAGGTGGTGTTTGCTGTTGCTGAGATATCCAAGATCGAATCCACATCCCGTTCTTTCTCCCTTAGTTGTCCAGACTCCTTTTCTATCGCACTTCCACGTTCTTCTGATGGGAACCCATGTTTATCCCGAAAAAAAGACGTACGAACTGGAGAATGGTAAGCAGGAGGCGGCGACTCGTCCGCATTGGCAACTTGGAACATTCTCCTCGGAGGCGTGCGTGGTGAAGCACTGTGTGTGCTATGCACATCGAGGGGATGATTCCTCGGAGGCAAGCTGTGAGAATACACCAGGGGGCTCGAGACGTGGCTGGAGTTAGTCCGAGGAGGTGCCTCAGATTGAATACGAGCGATTTGAGGTGCATTTGTGTGACTGCTGTGGTGTGTGGACACGGATTGTGTGTCGAGGGGGTATGGATCAATCATGCTTTCGTGCCCTGTACCATTGACGAATACGTACTGAGTGTCTACTGTTTCTTGTCCGACAGCAGAGTGCGAGTGCGAGGAGGATGTGGTGGCGAATGAGGATTGACGAGATGGGGAAAAGTCGAAGGACGTCGGGGATGGGGCGTTGATGTAGGCACTTGCTATGAGTGTTGCGTTTGATGAGTGGGCTGCAAGGGATGAACTTCGGGGTGCTGGGTGGTGAAGAATGGAAAGTGGTGAATCGGGACGTGATGCATTTGGGTTTCTACGAGCAGCTATGCGGCGGGCGTGAATTGCTGCGATTTCGTCGTCGGTAAAACCAGCTTGGGAAAGAGCATTAGACCAGGAAGGAGGAAGTCCTACGAATCTGGAAAAAGTGTTAGGGTCGTAGAGCACAAGAGGAGGATACTCACCCCTCGTCAACATGGATATGATGCTGGCCGTTCATTTAGCAAGGATGACTGGGAATTACAAGCAAACTCACCTGAAAATTCCATGGTTTAGATATGCTCTCATCCTCTTGAGGAGGCTCCGGATCTTCTGTTTCTATGAGATTCCTCGTTGATTTATTACGCTTGCCCATCGATGAGAACTTGAATATGCTTCGCTTTGATTTCTCGCTCTCTATAGACATTGCAGGACCAAAAGAACGGACTGAAGGAGCGGACTCAGGTGAGGCCCGGTTGTAGTCAGGCGTCGTTGGTAGTGATGGTAGTAGGTCGCTAGGAGGAGACAAAGAAGTTACGCTTGGGTTGTAAAGCGATTTGCTTGAACCATAAGGACCTCCTAATACTTGTAATCCTTGTTGAAAGTGTTGATCGTCCTTGGGAGGAGGCGGTGGTGGTGATCTCTCCTTGTTAAACTTGAATACGTTGAGAGTAGAGAACCGAGAATTGTTCCTGCTTGACATTCTAATACATCGACCGACTCAACACTGACGACAACCACGACGAAGAAGAAGAGTGATGGTAGTGATGATGTGGTGGTGGTGGTAGGTAGTAGTACGTTAAGACCTTTGAGTGGGCCACACTGCGTACGTGACCTTAGTGGGGCGCTAAACCGTGGCCAAAACTTCAACCATCTTTTTTCACTTTGCCACCGTTTAAATCTTCCGTTCTTCAATGATTTTCAACGTTTCTAGCCCTCACACGCTCTTATTTCTATTCGGGCCCCCTCTGTCAAACATGTCGCCACTCATAATGTGTGCAGTTCCATGTGGCTTTGACCAACGGCCTTGTTACACATTCACGGACACGGGATGCATTCGTGACGCAACTTGGATTTCTCATGTCAAATTATTGATGTCCCTGTACATTAATATTGCGAGCTTATGATCGGATGTAAATTCTCATTCGCTGAGTACACCAGCCTGATGCGAGTGAAAGCCTGTGAAAGCTTTGATGAGATTGATCAGGCAATTCCACCTTTCCCGCAAGGGATTTTCTCCTCGACCTGAGGCTCAGCGCTGCGAGTGATCCAGCGTCGTGCGCGGCAAGTAAGCTCCGAGGCTCCGGCACTACTACTACTTCAACTTCTCCGTGTCCACTTCGAAATCAAAGGTGATTCAGTCTCCACTCAAACAGGTACTCTTTTGTTGAGGATGCACGGAATGTTGGATGACGATTGTTGCACCCGGCTCAAATTGAAGGTCAACCTTATGTGTAGGGAGTGCAAAGGAATGCTTGCTCGTATCCAAGCAGACAGAAGTGTGCAGAGTCAACTTCTCCCGGAGTTGCAGACTCGTGTTGTCTGGTCAGACCAGTTCACCCAGACGAAGTAGACTATGAAAGCCATCCAACAGCTGGGCAAGAAAGAGCTTATCATCATGAGAGGGAGAGCCAGCCAAGCTATTCGACACACGAGCGAGATCTGCGGAAGCTTTTGCTTCACTGGAACTCCATATCGACGCTTTGTACCTTTCAGCGTGCGAGCAACAAGCCGACAACACCGGACAAAACGAACAGCAGGAAAATATTCCGCAAGCATGCTGCAGATGCCTGAGAGATAATTGTCAACCGAGCTAGGATTAATGTGTGCTGTCATGAAAGTGACAAAGTGGGATAAGGTGTCGTCGATAGGAAAATGATGAAGGTCGCAAAAAGTCAGGTACAAGTTAAGGGCGGAAGTGTAGGTGTGATTTGTTGAACGAGCCGCTTGGCAACTGGCCAAGCCTCTCGAATGGGTTGCCTGGCCCCTCGTGACAATGACATTACCCCCAGGGGTTTCGCGCGTATGGGGTACACTCTAATGCAACCTGCGCCCGATTCCGTGATAAGCGATCCGCCACAATATTCCGTTCTCCAGAGACATGAAATACCCGAAAATCGACAGAGGTAGTGAGCACTACATCAACAACACTCATGAGGAGCTGATTGAAGCCAGGTTTCACCACGAGTGAATTAAAAATGGCGACAGTATCCAGACTATCAGTGTAAACAGTCAACATGTGCCCAGACGCAATTCGGGATAGAGCATCATGGATAGCCGAGGTGACACATAAAGCTTTGAAGCTTCACAGTAGAAGATGTCGGCGACAGGAGGACGAAGAGGTAAAGGTGATTGAAAACCTAATCCCAAAGAAGGATACCAGAAATCCTTAGAATTGAGCAGCCCTAGCATCTATCGAGCTTACACACTTCAAGACATCAGTCCAGAATGACAGGAATGCATGATCATAATCCACTAATACTCCCGGCCACTTGTCGAGAGTATCTGTCAAATGTACCAGCAATCAGATCCCCGATTTGCTACCACTTCAAGTTTTTGCAGCTGGCTCTGTTTTGTTTATCTGAATCGAGTGAATTCTCAGTGACGCGATACAACAGAGTCTTGCTTTGGACCTACATAGTTGGCTCAAGGCGTGCTTGAGAAACCATTAGGTTAGGACTCGTCGCTGATGACCTTTATTCACGCTATCCACCTATCAATCCATACATTTATACTGAATGGCTGAGGGTTGTAGATAAGAGCGGAACAGGCGAGACGCATGCTCACCCACATATCATCCATCTAGACAGTAGGGAAGTAGTAATGAGTCGTGCGTGAAGGGTAAAAGTCGGCTGTCGATGTCCTCAGCGACTATTGGCGTGATTGATCATAACACCAGATCATCAGATATCCAGGTCCATTCTTGTTTCAGGTGCTACTGGCACAATTATTACTGATCAATGTCTGTTCAAGCATGATTCGGCGATGTCGAGTATGACACTTTAAAATATACTTACGAGGTGAATATTTGCCTCTGACATGTTGAATGAATACGCGTGGCGAGGAAATGAGAAGCAGTGAGAGGGAAGTAGAGAAGAGAACCGGGGCTTCAAGTCGGAAGGCATCATGCAAGCGCACCTGGAAAAGTATTAGTAAGGCGCTGATCACGATGTTCTAAGCCTCAATATACGGACTTTTGATCAGGTCGCAGTGGCTCTATAGTGCACCTGAGCGAAGCAAAAGAAGAAGTGATAGCGAGTCGTGAAACCCTAGATGGCTAATACTGTATCAGATCAGCAAGAACGTCTGGCCACCTTCATGATCCATCTGGGCCGCAGAGAAGGAGTGCTAAATCGTGCATGAATGGTGGAAGCAGGGTGTCGATGTCCTGGAGACCACTAGTCAATTGATCATCTGATTGAACCAACCAATCGCTGACCACTGTCAGACAGGTTACGTGTTCGACAACAATCATCTGGTTTCAAGCACAATTCAACGATATGGAGTATGATGGTTCTAAGAGGCTTACGGTAGAGCATATAACTCGATCATGGATGTGCATGGCATAGGAATGTGATGTGATGTGTTGAGCAGAGAGTAAAGCACACCTGACAAATCATTAATGCTGCGTTGTCTGAGGACAAAAAACGTGTGAGATCATTCACTGAAGATGGTTACCTCGTATCTAGATACAGCCTCGAGGCATGTGCGAATGATGAATGCAAAGTGGGGCAGTGACAGAAGACGATACTACGAGACCATTGTCCCAAGTGAACTCGTTTTGTGTAAGGATTGATTACGGCGGAGAATGGGCCCAAGTTTGACTGTGTAGATATTTACAAGATGATTAAGGCACGGGCGGCGTTGCTATCGATCGACGTGTATTGACCACAGTACATCGAGTCAGCATCTATCGAGCTTACACCCTTTAAAAATCAGTCCAGAATGACAGGATTGCACAATCATAATCCGCTAATACTCCCGGCCACGCCTTCAACTGCATTCTTGAGTTTGTGTGTCTCGCGGACGACGCTGTCGTTCTCGTCCTCAGCACATTCACTAATGAACGTAGCGGTTTCTGCTACGAAACCTATCATGATGTTAGCATTATCCTCGATGGCATGCACAACACGAGAACGAACCAATGAGCTTCCCACCATGTTCGCGCCAGAGGGCTTCCGAGCAGGACAGAGCAAATATGCGCTCACGAGCATCCTCTGCGCGAGTATGCATGAGCAGGTCGATGTTGATCGATTTGAGTAAGGAGTCATCTACGGCCACGCTCGTCATAGCAATCAAGCAATCAGTCAGCGCTTGTTTCCCGGTATTCAATTTGATGCAACTCGAAATCTGAGCTATGATAGGCTTTGCTATTGAGGCCAGTTTGTCGTCACGCCAGAATACTACAAAAATTGCGAGTGAGTGGCGCAGCGTAAGGTAGGTCGCGTGTTCTCACTCACCACCGTCGTCATTTTCAAAACTCTTTGTAAGAGTCTGAACTGTTGCCAACCATAGAGACGCATTTTGAATTGACCCTGCGGCCAAAGACTCCAATATGTCGCACAAAGCTTGAAGAAGCATTGACATATATGGATTCATCAAGCCCTGCACTAGATTAATAACGTCATACTTGAAAGATGTGTTACGAGCGCACCTTGAAATAATCCAATAGGGCAGAATACATGTGACAAAACGTGACCTTGCGCTCGATGTTTGCTGTGCGATGATCATCAGCTGCAAATGCCCAGTCATACAAACGACGGAACAACGGTCTGAAAGCCGTCTCGTTAAGTTTTACAACAAGTTCCAAGAATGCCGAAATGATGTGGGGTTCTCCCTGGTACTAGTTAGTCTCACCACAAATCCCAACGAAGTGACTCACATCAGTCGTAGACTTCATGTTCACGCCAAAGCCGTCGAGGAATACCGAGAATATTGAACGGATGTGCTCCTGGATGTCAGGACGTCGAGCTACCCGAAGACTGCGTTTGAAAAAGACGAAAAACGCGATGAGTCCATCAACATGTTCCTGTCACAGGATATCAATATTCAAAATCATGTTCATATCGCGAGGTGCGTGCCTTTTTCTGAGATTTTTCCAAATTGGGCCACAGATCGCAAAGTACCGGCAGTAGCATGTTGCTTGGGATCTTCTTCGCAATAGCTTTCATCAAACCTGTCATGAGACCATTCAAGGTGACAGAGTATTCCAGATGGAGTTTGACGATGTCTCTAAGTTCTGCAGCACCACAGAAAGCGGGAAGCGTCGATACCAAGCCCTGTAGGGTAGCAATTGCACCATCCACTGGGGTTTGCGCTATTCGAGCAGAACAGTCAACAGCTGTTACGCAGGTTTACATGGGAGACAAGTCGCTCACCCATTTTGCCACTCAATCCTTCTTGAAGGACTGATGTGCACTGTTGTGCAATCTCTCGGAAGTGAGGTATAAGTCGAGGTCCAAGAGAGGATCTACAAATTCTTCAGTAACGTGGAACGCGAGGGAAGAAAAGTTCCATACACATAACACGGCAACACAGCTATAGCAGATTGCAATGATGCACGTGCTTTGATGATTTTGATGACAGAAGGGACAGTAGATACCAATGCTGTCTCCTCGCCAGGACAAATGGAGGAACCGATCGCTCTCAAAGCATCGAGTGCTGAATTAACTAGCGCGCCCGCTGACTGGCGAGAAACGACGTCCCGAATAAAGTCGATGATTGATATGATTGTCTTCTGTTGTTCGCGACGGACTGCATCTGTAACTCTGGGTATCCTCTCTGCGAGGATTTCAAGAGCACCAGCCTTGATCTAGAAACAGCGTGAGAAAGGGTCT